AAAGTAGTCATGCATACATATGTAAAAATACTTTGTTGTGCCCCTTTCTTGCTCTCTGTTGCAGCAAATCAGAAATCAGCAGCTTTCTGAAGCCCTGCACAGCATTCCGGCATTAATTGCAAACAGAGGCGAATCGGGGCATCGCAATGGATTTCCGCGCAAGGCAACTTAAGCATGCATCATTCATCATTCAGAACAGAGCTGAGGCGGTCCATGGATTTGCGTGCTAATTTACCTGCTTTCCTAGATTAATTTGTTTATTAATTAGGATTTTGTATTTATTTGGACTGTACTATTTATTCGGACTGTATATTATTTATTCAGACCCTCCGAGCGAGGGCAATGTTGTAATAAGTGTGCGTATGTGTGATGTATGTCTTCCAACCCCACGTCTTTCTCCCTTTTATTTACCAGCTTATGAGGATTAGATTATGGCATGTTTCAATTAGCATACTTATGCTCGCATGTTTGCATTCATTCATCTGTATTGCATGCACTGGGCTCGGCGCATCATACTAACTGCATTTGTATTTCAATTCCAAATTGAATACATGTTATCCGTTGCATTTCACATGCCATGTTCAGAATAGCCGAGCCTACTGTAGTTGTATTTTTACATGTGTTGCATTAGGCATTTCTGTATAGTTAGGATCATGCATGGATTTCTAACATAGCTTCTGTTTTGGCTTGGAGTACTCGGTAAGTGTTTATGCTTTAGCATCCTTGCATGTGTGTGAGTGACTGCCATGATAGCATGCTTACCATGAGGCTATGTGCTTATGTGATACAACTGCCTGAATGCCTGTGGGTGAAGGTTGGGTTATTTGGATTGGAACAATTCATCAATTGTGAGTTTTAAGCCCACTAGATAGTGGCAAAACCATCTTTTCTAAGCCCACCCGAGGGTGGCAAAATCTGCATTTTAAGCCTACTTGCGAGTAGCAAACCACTTTAAAAAACAAACATGAGATGTTTTGTTCCAATTCAGGCGGTCCAGTCTATATTTGTATGCTGTGCGCATCACATAGTAATTCTAGGCTAATAACCGGAATAAGAACGCATAATGTTTTCAAAACTAAATATCATGGTTAGTAGAGGTCGATCTTTGATCGGGCGAGCGGGGGTGCTCACGAAGTGACCTTCCCCAATCGTATCCAAGTTCCCGAGCCGAGGCAACTTTGATGATGACGGACGCGTGGCCTTAGGCAACGAGTCAGGGTTTCCTAAATTTTTCCAAAAAAAAATATTTAGGTGGCGACTCTGTATCTGGAAAAACAGTCCATGTTTGGCACTTCTTTCAAAAAATCTGTTTTCAAAAACGATTTTCCGGATTTGGACTCTTTGATGATTCATCGGTCTTGCATTGCACTCCGCGAGATTAGATACAGGACCGTGACACAAATTGAGTCCGAACTGTAGCGAGGCCCGAGGGCGCGTCTACACCACAATTGTTATTTTCTTCACAATCTTAGCATCTTCATCTTCCACAATCACGATCCCCTGTTCTTCTTCATGATTTAAACGGTTATAGATCCATTCGGGGAAGTGAACTTCGCTTGTATTCTGTGTTGTAACATGGGTATCCTTCCTCCCTCCAACCATTTCAAGCAACAACATTCCAAAACTGTAGACATCTGACTTGTATGACACGACACGTTCCTAAAGTTCCTAGAGAACACTTCAGGTGCAATATAGCCTATGGTGCCCCTAGCAGCAGTCATGGATATAGCACTTTGTTCTTTCGAACACAACTTGGCTCGACCAAAATCAGAGATCTTGGGATTGAATTTGTGGTCCAACAAGATGTTATGAGGTTTAATATCGAAATGAAGGATTCTTTGATCACACCCTTGATGAAGATATTCAATACCTTTGGCTATGCTAAGAGCAATACCTTGTAGCTTCTCCCAACCAAGTGAACATTTTTCCTGATTAGATTATATAAACCTCTCTAACGAATCATTTGGCAAGTACTCATAAATGAGAGCTCTTTTAAATCCATCAGCACAATATCCGACTAGGCGAACCACATTGATGTGGTGGATTCTACCTAAAGTTCCCACTTCATTGATGAAGTTGTCCCCATTCCCCTTGACATCGTTGAGGATCTTGGCTGCAATGTGGATGTCATTGGAAAGTTTTCCCTTGTACACTGTTCCATAACCTCCTTGGCCTAGTTTTTCCTTAAAATTGTTAGTAATTTTCTTAATCTCGGCATAAGTGTATCTAGTAAGCTTGAGAGTTATGTAATCCTCCAAAAAAATTTCAATTTTTACTTGATCCTCTTTCTTTAATTTATTTGATCTGTGGACAAAATATATTGTGACCGTGACTACAAGAAGAAGAATCAAGCAAGGTGGTATCACACCTGCAATTTTAAACAACAAAAATTAAGAGTGAAAATTCCTTCTCCAGAAAAAGAAGGGGAAAAAAAAATCACGGGAGGGTAGACTCTGAAAGTAAAACAGAAGGGAAAACTAATAGAGGAAGGAGTACTTGAAATACCAGTAGTAATTGGTGGTGGGTTATGTATGTTATTGTCAAAGCATTCAATTTCATCATGTTTCCTGCTGCTGTTGTTGCTGTTATTCCTCCTCCTCAATCTACAACACTTGCCTATTTCTTCACACCTCCCACATATGGGCTTGGACCAACTCAATCGAAGTTCACTAGTATCTAAATCAGGAGAACCATATAGAGGGGAATCTATTGATGTTACTGTATATAACTTTCGGCAAGATAATAGGAACTGCTGGATTAAAAAATCATCAGGTACCACATAGACCACATGACCTTGGCTGCTGTTATGGCAATTATTTGTGATTGGAAATGGTGAATGTCTATAATATGCATATTCTATATCATACCATTCGAAAGGGTAGGTTTGCATTGTTGAGGAGGGACAACTGAAAAAGCTAAAATTACCTGGGTAATAATGTGGTGAGAATTTGAAGGGAGAGGCCGATAAACTGTGGTTTAGATTTAGGAGAAACTGTTCCAGAAAGCAACTGCTGGGGTCACTTATATACAAAGACTGGTCTATGTAATTGATTTGCTGGACAAATACAGTTACAGTCACGAGCTCAAGCATGGTAAGGTTGGTTGGGGAGCAGGATAGTTCAAACCCGGGATAGCCACAGTGATTTGGCTGGTGATCCTTTAGCCAGAATGGGAACCGGATGTCTGGACCATATTCCCCACACCTCTGTGTCATCGTACATTCATCTGAATTTAGTGGTCGTGCTCGTGGTGCTTGTGGTGCTTCTACTGCCAATACTACTCCTTGGAGTTGGAACAATAACAAGAGAAAAAGAAAGACGAGGAAGAAGAAGATCATGGCCATTTGCATACTAATTTCCTTGTGGAGTTTCAAATTCAATGCCTCCTCATCCTCATACTCATTTGTCACTTTCTTCAAGTCAACATCCTCTTTGCAGAGCCGGCCTTGGCCAAAGGCAAGCAAGGCAGCCGCCTTGGGCCCCCAAATTTCGATAAATTTTAAGGACTCCTGAATAACTCTTATGGTGTTAATAGGTTTAAAAATATATGTCCAAATCAACTCATTTAACTTCACAATCTAAATTTAAGGTTTTTATAGCATGTTTAACTCTTTATTTTTTTCCCAATTTAATTTGATTATAGATTTGAGTACAAACTTGATTTACATAAATGATTTTTTTTTTACTTATACATGAAGGGCCCCAATTTTAAGACTCCGCCTTCGATCTCAAAAATCCTATCGCCAGCCTTGTCTCTATCTTCATGTCAAATTCCTCATTCTGTCTCTATCTTCAAGCAGTGTGTGACAAAATCAAAACAAAACTGCCATAGTTTGAAGTTTAACCCACTTCGTTGCATTTACTAGGCTGGTATCATTTTCTATGTGACTATTTTAATTTCGAGCAGTGAAATAGTTGGCCAAATCACATTCCAGTGATAATATAATAGAGGTGATGTGAGTATATGGTTTGATTTGGTTCGGTTCAATTTAGGAACAAATCAAGAACCAAACCACTACTTACGATTCAACTCTCTGAAATTTAGAACCAAACCAAATTATAAAAATTTTAAAACCAAATCAAACCGAATCAATAAAACGTGGTTCGATTTGGATTAAAGCCATGATTCTCACAAAATATTGATTACAACTTGCTCAAATGTCAAACAATATGCCGTTAGTTTTCAAACAAAAATTATTTAAATAATGAAGAGTGATGGAGACTCTCTCCAATCACCACCCCCACCACCCCACACACATGTGGCAGGTGGTGATTGGAGGACAAGGGAAACAAAAAAAAAAAAGAAAAAAGAAAATCCAACCAATGAGAGAGAGAGGGGCTCAAAGGGGGTGGGAAAAAAAGGGGGCCTTAGACATTTTTGTTAAATAATTATGTAGAAGTAATTTTACCACTAATTACAAGCCCAAGGCCTTGTTTGGGAACAGGTTAATTTAGTAACTTTTTGGCTAATTGGCTAAAAAGGCAGGTAAAAAAAACTAGTATGTTTGGGATGACTTTTTGACTAATTACGAAAAGCTGTGCAAAAAGTAGAGAGAAGCCGTAATTGTTGACTTTTTGGTATGACTAATTGGCTAATTGGCTAATTTAGTAACTTTTTGGCTAATTGACTAAAAAGGTAGCATCCCAAACGAGGCCTAAGTCTACTTTTCTTAAATTTGGATACTTTTTTAGGTAACATAAGTTGCAGAAAGTTATTAATAACTTGTGTATATGTGGTGGGGGTATTAATCAAGTAGTTGGGGGTATTATTAACAAAATATATATATTTAAACGGTTTGATTAGGACCCATTGAGAAAACTGAACTAATCCTTACAATCCAGTTTACAATTTTATTTATTTATTTATTTGTTTTTTATTTTTTTGATATTTTTCCTTAGCCCTTTAATATAATATTATAACACAAGCCTTGAAATTACTAGCTACAACAAGGGGATTTGGGCAACTGCAAACAGACTCACTCTAATATGATTTCCCTTCCCTTCTCTTCCCTTCCATCATCCATCCATGTCTAGGCTTCTTTTCTTCATTCTTCTGTTTGTCCTGTTTTTAGTGAATTGTGATGCTTTAAGAACAAGTGATAGGAACTGTGATTTTTCTTGTTGTGGGAACATTCAAAATATCAGATACCCATTTCGATATGAAGGTGACCCAGAAAATTGCGGAAACAAGAGATATGAACTGGCTTGCCACAACAATCGTCCACTGCTTGACTTATCATCTGCGGGTGGTCCTAAATACTACTATGTGCAGACAATCAACTACAACAACTACACAATCCGAGTCGTGGATATGGGCATTCAAAACGGAAGTTGCTCCTCCCTCCCTCTTTATTCTTTATCCTTTGAAAACTTTACTGGTCCTGCTTTTTCTTATGATGATTATAATTCATATGGTTCATATAATCCAGATGAGTTCCAATGGGAGTTTCCCTGTCTTGAAGCTGTAGCAGTGCTGGTGGAATGGGAAAATCCAGTGAATTCTCCACGATACATGAACACTAGTAGTACTACTTATACTAGTTGTATTAATAAGTCTTCTTTGCATACCCATTACTACTCTTACTTTCTGTTTGGAAACTTGAGAGCATCAGATGTGGCTGATCTGTGCAAAATAGATGAGATAGTTGCAGCTACCTTGTGGTCGCCTTTACCTCCAACAACAGCAGCAGCAGCAGCAGCAGTAAATTATTACTTTTTCAGTAACTTCATGGAATTCCACGCACAGTTAGCCTCTGGATTTGAGCTTTCGTGGGCCAAAATTCCATGTGAAAATTGCTCAAGAGGAGGCAGTTGCTTCATTGATCCTATTACCAATTACACTGTCACTTGTTATAACTTCTGCGATTCCCAAATCAAGTTGACCTTTCTATGTGCGTAAGATTTTCTCTTACATAGCATGATTAGATATAGCAATATCTACCTTAGTATTTACTTCATGCTAATTATATGAAAGCAACTTAGCATAAATATAATTTTATAACAGGTTTGAGTCTCGATTTAAGCATGGTCTAAACTAAGAACCAAACTAATCCTATTGAGTCCACGATTTTAAGACATAGAACCGAACCAAAATATTGAAAAAAACCAAACCAAACCAAATGAATGCATAGAGGTCAGTTTTTTGAGTTTCTTTGTACACTTCTAATTACTACGAAAATCCAAAATTCAAATACAAACAAGATGTTAGTCCAAAACTTTGTTAGTTAACATGAGTAATGGTTTCTTCAAACAAATTTTTTTAAGAAAGAGAGATTTATAAATATTTTTTGTAAGAGGAATACTAGGTACAGAGAAATAAAGCACATAAATAAATGTTTCCAGGAAAATTCAGTGTGTGAACCCACCACAACAAAACTAAATCTGATCCACACATAGTTTATGTGTACATTTTTTCTTTTTTTTGCATATTTCTGTGCATTTATTTATTTATTTTTTCATTTTGTAATTTAAGTGGCACCTAAACTGATGTTTAGAGGCCAAAAAAGGTAAGGCTGCCACATGACATAGATTCATTTTTAGGGTTTGGAGTCCTCAATGAATTTTTGATGGCATGTATATAGTCTTTCTATTAGACATATGCTAAGTAATTTAAAATTGACATAAAGAGAGAGAAACTATGAACATACTGAGAAATTAGGATATGTTGTGCTAAACATTAAATTCAACTATCTCCTCAGTTTTTGTTTTTGTTTTTAGTAGTTTTTTCTTTTTTGTAAGATTAATGACTTTAGTTTGCTAATATGATTTTTATGTCAAAAAAAAATAATGCAGGTGCCTTGGAGCTGATTTACGGTAAGCCCGCTTTATTTCTCATCCATAATTATTTCATTATTTACAATCTTGCGATTACCTCACATTTCCAACCCACTTTTGCGATTCCTGTCTTTTGAGCAATAGTAGTATCATCGCGAGAACTAAAATTTTCTTGTAAAATTTTTTCAAATCTGAAGGCCTTCAATCACCTGATTAAATGTTAAAGGCCTATAAATTCTTCCTTAGATTGACTAGCTCCTTCATTACTTTTTTTATTTTTTTTAATTGCCTTAGTCACTTCACTGAATCTTGGGTACATTTTTTCTTTTAGACGATGTCCTTTACTTGCTCACAATCATAGGTAACATTTCTTCCTTCTACTGTTAAGCTTGAAAATCTCAAGAATTTATATGAAGAACCAAAATCCAATGATAAAAGATGGAAGAATTCAACATACGATTCTATTGGTAGAGAAAAACAAAGGTCTTTCTTTTCTTTTTTTTTCTTATTTGTTCATGTTTTGATCTACCTGGGCAGGATTTATTCTTGGAGCTAGAACATTTTGTGGGATGCTATGCTTATTCGCATTTTTAATCTATAAGTTTCGGACAAGGCATTTATCAATGTTTGATACCATTGAAGGTTTCCTACAAAGTCAGAATAACCTCATGCCTATTAGGTACTCTTATTGGAACATTAAGATGATGACCAAAGGTTTCAAGGACAAGTTGGGGGAAGGAGGCTTTGGTTGTGTATACAAAGGAAAACTTCGGAGTGATCACATTGTGGCAATAGAGATACTAAATAAGCCCAAAGCTAATGGCCAAGATTTCATCAATGAAGTTGCTACCATTGGAAGAATTCATCATGTCAATGTGGTACAACTAATCGGATTTTGTGCTAAAGGATCTAAGTGTGCTCTTGTCTATGACTTCATGCCTAATGGGTCTCTTGAAAAGTACATTTTTTCCCAAGGAAATATCTCCTTGAGTTGCAAGCAAATGTATGAGATTTCTCTTGGCGTGGCCCGTGGGATTGAATATTTGCATCGGGGTTGTGATATGCAAATTTTACATTTTGACATCAAGCCTCACAACATTCTTTTAGACGGGAATTTCACTCCAAAAGTTTCCGACTTTGGGCTTGTAAAATTGTATCCAACAGATAATAGCATTGTGTATGTGACTACAGCAAGAGGAACATTGGGCTACATGGCTCCATAATTGTTCTACAAAAACATTGGACGTGTTTCCTACAAAGTTGATGTTTATAGTTTCGGGATGTTGTTGATGGAAATGGCAGGTAGAAGGAGAAACCTGAATGCATTTGTTGATCATACAAGCCAAATTTACTTCCCTTTTTGGTTTATTGACCAATTTAAAGAAGGGAATGACGTGGAAATGAGAGAGAGCACGGAGGAAGAAAGGCAGATGATAAGAAAAATGATAATAACAGCGTTATGGTGCATACAAATGAAGCCCGATGATCGTCCTACGATGAATAAAGTTGTAGAAATGCTTGAAGGAAATATTGAACTTGTGCAAATGCCTCTGAAGCCGTTCCTAACTCCTCAAGAGATGCCAACTGAAGATAACTGAATGAACCCTTTCCTAACTCCAATAATTTGGCATGATAAATGTTGTACTATTGTAGTAGTATGCATGCACTGTATTAGACGGGGAAAAAACATCACGTCCTCAAATAATAATAAATTATATTGGTTTGGCACTATTTCTTGAGAAAACGAGTTCCATGTGCTAGTGGAGGAATGCTCAAAATAAGGATCCATGTGCTAGTGGAAGAATGCTTAAAATAAATACACATGCGCGCACGCACAAGAGAAACACAAATATTTAATATGGTTCAGACCAATTGAGAATACAATGGTGAGATCAAAAACATCCAAAATCCAACATCAATATCCAAGACCCCTGCTCATGGATAATTGAATCCATAAGCTCCAAGTCCCATGGACTTTCTGCTCAATGATATCTTTTACATCTCTCTCTATCATACCTCTTGGCAGCTCCTCTACCCTGACAGCACCCCTGGCTACCTCCCCATTCATTGCTTCTTCCCTTAGCCCTCTTGAGCTAATTACAACCAAAGTTTGAAAAAGAATTGCATCAAACACTACAGCTTTCACACAGGTGTGAAAGGAAGCATATACAACCTACAATTTTAGGCCGATGAATAAAAAAATAATAAGCATAAAGAGGATTTCTTACAAATTATGCCAATGATAAGTTTTTGGAAAATTATGTATATGCCAATGGCCCCAGGTCAGACGCTTGTAGCAACAGGGCCCCACGCATTTACCTTTGCCAAGTTTTCATATCTATTTGTTTTAGGTTGCAAGCAGCAATGTCCAGTCATACAAAGCATTAGTATTATTACGTATGTATCTATTGTGTACCACAAATACACAGACAATGATCCAAGCGTGAACCCAGGAACAAATAATAATAAATATCTATATAAATAAGCAACCTACAAATCCAAAGCCTGTAGTTCCATGAAAAAAAAAAAAATTCAATATTTGCTCAAAACCCTAAACTAGCTCCGGAAATAAAGGTCGGGAACAGATCTGAAGAAAAACAAAACCAAACAAAACAAAACAAAAAACTCTACATTGAGGCTTGAGATTAAAATGATTACAAAAAGTAAGTAGAAAAAAATATAAGAGAAGAAAATAAATGAAAGAAGGAGAGAAAATGAGTAAAGATAATAGAGTAGAACCACAAAACCATATCAATAATCCTTGTTAATTCCCGTCAGAGCATAGAGCCAAAGTAGACTGGCTTGAGGTAGATTTGGAATCTGATACAGCAATATAGTATATATACTGTAGTTAGAGCATCTCCAACGGTTACTCAAAATTTTCATCAAATTTGAGTAAAAAATGGCTCATTTTCCCAATTTTATATCAGCTGCTCCAACGGTGAACTTTCATCAAATCTGCGCTGGGACAACCGGTTGGTCGACTGGCCGGTCGACCAGTAAGGGCAAATTTTTTATTTTTATTTTTTTTGAATTGTTTGAACTTTTTTTTTGAACTGTTTGAACCTTTTAGTGGTCGACCGGTTACCGGTAAGGCAAATATATATATATTTTTAATTGTTTGAACCTATAAATTTTGAACTGTTTGAACGTTTTAGTTGTCGACCGGATGGTCTCCCCCAACGGTAACAAACAGTGATTTGCTGAAATCAGTATTCTGTCCTCACTTTGATTAATTGTTTGGTGAATTCTCAATTTGATATCGATTTGATGCAACCGTTGGAGCACCAAAGAGTAACTTTTTCACTAAAATTTAAATTTGATGCCAGGTTTGGCGAAGCGTTGGAGAAGGTCTTAGTAACAAATAAAATTAGGGAAAATTATAACAACAACAACCAAAAAAATAAAAAATAAAAAAACCGAAGTTTGATCCTAGTAGTAACAAATCAAACCCTGAGGTTTTAATTTGTTAAATTTGAACCATACATTTTTTATTGGATCACAATTCAAATCATCTGTCAATCTCAGTTACATTGCCTAACGGAAAAAAAGAACAAAAATAACACATGGCACTACTTTATTTGTTCCCTAACTTGGAATAAACTTCAACTTTGAACTCAATCACACTAAATCTAAAACTCATCTTATCAATGATTCATATAACACCAAAACCACACATCATAAAACTTACCATACCCCTTATCACATATGAATATGCCCCTTTTGCTTTCCATCTGCTTCTCTCTCTGCTGGAGAAGATGGATCTACGCAGAGCAAGGGGGCCACCAAAAATGATGGGTCTAGGGGGAGGAGGTTTCGCTGGAAAATATGGATATGGGAAACGGGGTGATGGAGGAGGATAGTGATGGCGCGGTGGGGATATTGCTTTACCAGTTAGGTTTCCAATTCCACAAACATCGCTTATACATATATGTGGACATATCACATTGCCATCTTCATCTTATTAACAATCTGCTTGAAAGACTCATTGGTTCGGTCAGTTGTGTAATTTTTGTTTTTCTAGCGAGTCAATTGTGTGCTTGATACAGCTCAATTTCTGCTTGGGCTTGGTGTTAGTTGAGAACATGGCATATGATGGTAGCAATGTTGGAGATGAAAGAGTTGCAGAGTGGGCTGCCGCTGGCAATCGATGACTAGTGATGAGTGGTGGTGCCCAACAATAGGAGGTTGTAGCTGGGTTTGTTTTTGAAATATTAAAGTTTCAAAGCAATGTTAATTTTGTTAAAATTGTAATAATTATCTTCATAAAATGTTGGGTATAATGACAAAAAATGTCCATTTTCCGTCAGTTAAGTTTAACAGAAATAGTCGTGTGGTTGAGATTGTGATCAAATAAAAACTTCAAGGATCAAATTGAACAAATTAAAACCTCAAGGTTTGATTTGTTATTAAGATCAAACTATGGGTTTTTTTTTTTTGTAATTTTCCCATAAAATTGTAGAAAATAGTCACAATGACAAAATATCTAACCTTTAGGTTCATTCCGCATCCAGTCTTGTGCACACATTAGGGCTTGCACAGTATCTGATCTCAGTGAACTCCGGTAATGATTTTTGCATTCGATCTCCAGTGCTGAATGCAAACTCCGATGAAACTTTTGACATGGGAATTCCCAAAATGTTGCGGGCCATCATAGATAGAATGGGATACCTTGGTGTGTGAACTTTCCACCAATTTAAATTGCTGAAATCCATATTGCGAGGAAAAAGTGGTTCCTCCAAGTATTTGTCCAAATCTGATTTTGTGTTTTGGCTCTGTGAAGTTTCATGGGGGAACCTGTCAAAGCCCATCAGTCTATCCCTAGATTCATTACCACCCCCACCACCACCGCCTACTTGACAAGACAAGCCTTGACCATGAGAATCTAATGGGGAGCAAATGGCATGCCCATTGTAAAGTGTTTTCATACAATTAGAAACAATATCAATACAATCAGAAGCACTCGTGCCATAAATTTGAGGATAATAATACTCTACCAACTTCATCTTGAACCGAGGATCTAATATTGCTGCAACTGCAAAACCCAAGCTGCACTTCTTCCAATATTCATCGAATTTGCTTTTCATCTTCAAGGCTAAAGAACTAAGATAAGTATCCGAGTTCTGGCACCATTCAATCAACTGCAAATGCGCATCACAAATCTCGTGAAAATATATATTTGCTGTTGGATACTTCACTACAAGAAAAAGTGTTTTTGGCGACTAAAAATTCATTTTTCGTTGCTGAAAGTTGTATAATTGGCGACTAAAATGGATTTAGTCGCCAAAATTGAACCCTTTTGCCGACTAAAATAGTTTAGTCGCTGAATACCAGGCTTTTAGCGACTAAAAGGCAGTTTAGTCGCAGAATGTAGGGGTTTTAGTGACTAAAGGTTTTTTGGTAGCCAAAAGTGACGGTTTTTGGCGACTAAAATAATTTAGTAGCCAAAAGTGATGGTTTTGGCGACTAAAAAACATTTTAGTCGCCGATTATAGGTGTTTTTCCGACTAAAAAAAGATTAGTCGCTGAAAATGAAGGTTTTTGGCTACAAAAAAAAAAATAGTAGCTAAAAACAGTGAATTGGCGACTAAAATTCAGTTTAGTAGCCAAAAGGACACGTTTTTGGCGACTAAAAACAGATTTAGTCGCCAAAACTACTATTTTTAATTTCAACTTGTTTTTTTACCGACAAAAAAATAATTAGTAGCCCAAAAATCATAGAATTGGCGACTAAATAATGGATTTAGTCGCCAAAAGTGGCCTAAAATTTTTTTTAATAAATAATTTATTTTTTACATAAATTATATTGAATTAAAATAATTATATTTATATATATTGTTTTGTATTAATACTGTCAATATATTATATAAATAATATATATTGCAAATATATTCATGTGATGTTGTAGTGGCATAGTGGAGGGAGTGTGTTGCAAAAAAGGTTGCAATGTGGGATGGTTGGGCACGGTTCGAAACTCAGAAAAACCAAAAAAAAGTGGTTTTTTTTTCCCGACGGAACACCTTTGGCGACTAATATTTTAGTCGCCAAAAGTCTTGATTTTGGCGACTAAGCCGTTTAGTCGGCGATTGATTGAGTATTGGCGACTAAATTATTAGTCGGTAAATGTATGATTTTCAAAACGCTAAAACACTATTGGTGACTAACATTTTAGTCGCGAAAGACCTGTCTTTTGGCGACTAAAAAAATATTAGTCGCCAATGCCTACGCCGACAACGTATATGCGACAAATGTGGCGACTAAAGAATTTTGTCGGGGAAAGTCAAATTTCGACTTTCGGCGACTAAAAACAGACTTTTGGCTACTAAAAATTTAGTCGCCAAAAGTGACTTTTCTTGTAGTGCTTGGTCCTTGTGAAAACATTAGAAACCTCAACAAAGAGCTTCAAATAGCCGGTAATGGCACTTGCTCTGCTCCACTCTATATCAGATGGATACATTGTGTAAATGGGATCATGTTCTTGCAGAACAGAAAACGCATCTTTATACACTAAAGCAGCTTCAAGCATGAAATATGTTGATTTCCATCGTGTTGAATTATCAACACACAAGCACTTCTGACTATCAATGCTCACAAGATGAACCATCCCGTTGAACTTTTCCTGCGTTGCTTGTGAACTTCTAACATACCTAAAGCTATCTCGAATCTTATGGGTTACCTTCGACAGTGCTTCCAAGGCATCTTGAACCATCAATTTAATAATATTTGGTGCACAGCATACATCAAATAATTGACCATTACACAAAAGAAACCTGTTATGGGAGAGTCGGTCTCTAATTCTACAGACGATATTGTCGTTGGTAGAACTACTGTCAAATGTCATTGAAAATAATTTTCGATCGATATCCCAATCGATTAGACTTGCCATGATAACTTCTGAAAGCATGTATTCTGTATGAGAAGGGTCAACCATTACAAAATACAAAACTTTCTTCTTTAATTGCCAATCATCATCAATAAAGTGTGTTGTCAAAGATAAGTGTGGGTGTTGATTTCCGACCACACAACCAAAGGGGAAATTCAGCTAGAGAGCACTGGCATAATAGATTAAGCCCGAACAACCTGCCACAGAAATATAAGAATCCGGCGGTGGTTCGTCCACCCGGGGGCACTCCGACGATCAAGTCAGTAATCAATGTCTCTCAAAGATAACAAATAGTGCTTAACTCACTAGACAGAACATAAAAAGAATACCTTAGACCCATGGGGGTGCCTCACTTTTATAGTGGTCAGTGTCCAACTTCCCCTAGAAGTCTTACTTCATGGGACTCTATCCTTTACAAGGATAACATCTATCACAACTCACACTATTCAGATTAAGATAAACTTTCTCAAGAGTCCCATCTCTATCCAAATAGGTAGTTTGATGTCATCTAGGACTCTAGTTCTCTATCGAAATATCTCAGATTACGGTATTGTTGCACCATATCTCGGCATCATGGTCCGCCCACGTGGTACCTCGGCTAACAACCTCGGCCACGTGGACTACCCAAAAATATGTCCCTACAACTGCCCCCTAAGTTCTATTACCTTGAGGTGATGGAGCCTATACATGTACTCCTCCGACCGAGATCGTAACTTGTCGGCGCCAAGAAATAAGGACTCATATGTCCACTCGTCAAGAATCAAGAATCAAGAACTGTCACGACCCAAACCCGGCCCTATGGGTTTAGCACCGTAACCGGCCAGTAATCTGAGATTACCGAAGGCCTGCTTAACAGTAATACAATAAAACAGAGTACAGGGCCTGGCGGAAGCCAAAACAGTAATTAAACAATGTCCAATGAGCTGTGACAGTCTGTATGCAAAAAGACTTTTTATACATATATACATAAACAGTACAAAACAGTATGCACAATATTTACATTCATTTCGATCGGGGACTCAATCCCTATTTACAGTACAGTATAGTGCAGTACAGTGCTATCAGTCTATACAGTTTACAAAACAGGTACAGAGACAGAAGGGGGAATAAAAGACCCCTAAGCCATAGCATGGCAGGCTCGGAACCTCGCAGTGAGGCACATAGGTTGGCTTGACAAAACTGGAGCTTACCCCGACGCTTCTAGCCGCGGTCTAGTGCCTGTACACCTACATATATGTATGAGCAGTGAGCTAAAGCCCAGTGAATAACACAATGCGTAAAGGGGTTAAGAATGAATGTCCTTACAGTAATGAAAACAATTCATTGTTTCAGTATATCAGTCATTCAGTCATATGTGGTACATCCCTTAGCATAGCAGTACAGTAAACAGTAGGTCTTAAAAAGACCGAACAGTAAATGATGGCCATCAGTCAGTAAACAGTAGTGGTTCCAACGAGGGAACCGACAGAGATCTCTGTAACAGTAACAGTAAACAGTAGGTGCTAAGGATGCCACAATACAGTTCAGAATATAGGACATACATTCAATCAGTTAACAGTAATCAGTTCAGAAAGCAGTACAGTTCAATTGTTCAGAAGATAATCATTTTTGAACATATCTTTACACAGATGTTACTCACAGAGTTCTGGGCTACAGTAAGCTAGAGCGTCTCCTCGGAAAGCCAACCCTACACAGTTAACATATTGAACACACACTAAGTTCCACAGTTGGGAAAGATAATAACTTAATCCCTAATTTGCCTCGGTGTGTTCTACATCTATATCCTCAATAAGATGTCTTAAACTAGGCCTAAGAATGCCTAGAATGGGATGAGGATGCAAAGATATGATCAGAAAATAGTTTCAGAATTTTTAGAAAAACAGAGTCCCGCTCGAGCTCAGGTTTCCCCGCTCGAGCGGACATGCAACAAAGGTACACACTTGAGCGTAAAATCCACCACTCGAGCGTACTGTAAAAGTACTAGATAGGTGAAATCTCCGCTCGACGGACGCTCGACGCCCGCTCGAGCGTGAGACACATGCCTCCGCTCGAGCGTCCAATCCTCCGCTCGAGCGGACTGTAAAGCAGTGCAAAGATACAGGATGCTCGGATTCCCCGCTCGAGCGCCACTTTCCCCGCTCGAGCGAGAGTGCAAAATCTGGAAAACCCAGATTGCACTTTCAAGCCAAAAACCAAGTTTAAATACGTCAAAACCGATCCTCTTGGGCTGAATTTCCAGAAAACGCTTGTAAACATGTAGAATGACATGATTCAAAACTCAATTTCAGAAATCAAAGCCCAAGGGTGTTTAATTCAAACTCACTTTCAAACCAATTTTCATGAACATGGAGAACATGCGAACATGCATGAATTCAAACCAATTTCAATGCTTCAAAACATGCTCTAGAGAGCTCATTCTTTTCAAAACAAGATGAAAACATGGTCTACTCTCAAAACATGGACATGCATGTGACAATTTGCCATGAAAACAACTTAAAATCCAACAATACCAACATGCATGCATGAATTAAGCTATAATTCAACATTTTTGGACCAAATCATGACTTAGTTCTACAATGAAGCATGAATCATGCAAGAACCAACTTAAATACAACAATGAGAAGATGAGTTTCCTACCTTAGTCTTGTATTCAAGGTTTAGGAGCTCAATTATGAAATCAATCTTCAATTCTTCAAGCAATTCTACAAGTGAACTCAATTCTCTCACTTCCCTCTCTCTATGGCCGGTTGTGTGCAAGAAATGGGAGAAGAAATGTTTTGTTTCAATGTGTACACAAGGTCAAGCCTAAAACAAGGTTTGGTGTAGTGGCCCACTCAAGGACAAAGTTGTAGTTAAGTCAAACTATGCAATTAACCCAATATTTAATCTAATATAATCATACCTAATCAGTTTTCAGATAAATATACCATAAAATCACATAAATTACGATGATCATAAAACACTAATCGGTTTCCGATTCGGCCGCCGATAAGGCCTTCAATTTGCAATTTCACCATAAAAACATGAACAGATAATCAAACAGTCAAACAGACAAAATTACAATTAAACAGATATACTCAGTCAATTCGGTTTCAATTTCAGTCAGTCAGTTCAGTAGTTTATTCAATTCAATTATCAGTCATAATCAGTTTCAGTTTAACGGTAATAAGTGGTCAATCGGTAAACAGTGACGAGGGTTATTACAAGAACCATCGTGTTCTATCTCATCCAAGTCCAACATCTCAACAAAGATCACATTACTAGCAGAGATCATGACTTGCTAGTTCAAGAACATCAAGATCCTAGTATCATCTCATCAGAAACCAAAAATAAACAAGTTCTGCCCCCATCCAATTTCAACATCTCAATCGAGATCAATATCTCAACTAAGATCGCACTTCTCAATCAAGATCATTATCAGATTGGAGCATACCAATCACGTCCCCATTGTGTTGCGTCAGTTCTACCCCCCACTGCTTGATGTCAGTGCGGGCACGCCGGGAATCGAAATCATAACTTTTTGCCATCTTTTTCCAATTCTAGCAAAACCTTTTCATTTTCTCATTTCGTGTCTACTTGTGCCTTTAGACTTTCTTTCTCTTGGCCTCTGTAAACCATCATCACTGTTCTTGAAGCATTCATTCCTATTACAACTCTGGTCACCACTTCTGGCGTGCACTCAGCAGTTCTGTTCCAATCATAACGCTGTTTGACTCCGGCGAATCCCTTTCCGGAATTTACTTCCTCGGCTTCACTTTGTAAGTCCTTAATTTCTTTTATTTTAACTTCAGTTCTCCACTATTTTCAAATATATTCCTTCTGTGGATTGTTACACATCACACACGGTATCTGTATCTACATCTACATTGCCATCTTGTATTCATATTCGAATCTCATTGTTCTACATGCCTTCGCTTGCTTTGACTCATATTTTGTCCTTCATGTTCTTGAGCCCATCTTCACATTTTTTCTATATTTGACACATATCTTCTAGCACACTGTCATCGAATTCTATCAATTTTGTTCATTTCCTGAATCTATCAATGCTCTATTTTTCTCGTGTTCTTGAGTCTTTGATCACTGTTTCACGTTTTTTAGACCTGTTTCTTCTGTCTGTTCTTGCTTGTTAGTAGATTATTGCCTCTGAATCCTGTACATTTGCATAGACGTAGGTTTGGGATTTGCTAAAATCCACACTTAGGAAAACTAAAACAAATTTTGCCCCCAAACCTTCCTCAAAACCTTAAAACTGATAACCCAACAGTCCTTAGGGTTTCGCTGAGGTCTTTAACCCACATAGTCCAACTTTCCTTGCCAAATTCACCCTAGCCGAGGTCATGGGGATGTTCAAATGGAGGGTAAACTTCTCCAATAAACTAGAACACTTCCGTCAGGAATTCTTCATTCCAGCCGACGTTCATCTAAGGTTGGCAGGGGAGGAGGATTCCATGATGCCTGGAGAGACATATATGCCTTTCCCTATAGTATCTATCATTTGAGGGTGGAGTCAGATTCCATCTTGATATCTTGTTTTGCTTTGGGCCGAGGTGCCTTCTTTTGTATCTGAACAAGTTGTCTTTTTGAATGTAAGTCCTCTTTTTGACTAAGTGTTCAATCTCTGTTTTTACTGTCTTGTATGATTCCATACTTAGAATATTTTTGTACTTCTCCCAAGTATACTTTAACTGTGTAATCACTTCGGGTTAGAACACATCTGACACGTACCACCTCGGATCCACTTTATCTTGGGTACACCCTTAGTTGGCCACCTCGAACCAACTTACCTCGGAGTTCACCTTTTACTGTGATCTCGGCCAACGGACATTTTATAAAAATTCTTTAAACAACATTCAACAAGTATTGTTTCCTTACTTGTACTTACTGCCTTTCAATATTTCCAAGTTTGACGAACTGGTTGGTGATCTCGGATAACCAACAACTCGAGTGTCCCCTCATTTGGATACCTCGGCTGACTCCAACTTGTAAAAAATTTCAACAAGTGTTAAACCTATTCTTTATTCCTGCTTCCTGCCCCTAATGTGAACCCAAGTGTCACTTATGTTCACGTTAAGCATGCATCTTCAATTTCGCCGCAGTCAGATTTAAACAAAGACTAGCCGAGGTGTTCAACCTTGGCTTCTCTAAAGCAAACTTAGTTCCATTTTGAGTTTAACTCTGCCGACATGGAAAGTCTAGGTGAATTCAACATAGTTCAACTCTATTATATGCAAGTATAATTCAACTGCCATATAAAAAGTCTAAGTTACTTGTCATGTTTCATTCAGAAATATTGTCAACTTAGTTCAACTCTATTATATGCAAGTATAATTCAACTCTATTATATAATAAGTCTAAGTTTCTCGTCATGTTTCATTCAGAAATATCGCCAACTTAGTTCAACTATATTATATGCAAGTATAATTTAACTCTGCCATATAATAAGTCTAAGTTTTTCGTCATGTTTCATTTAGAAAAATCGCCAACTTAGTTCAACTCTATTATATGCAAGTATAATTCTACTCTATTATATAATAAGTCTAAGTTTCTCGGCATGTTTCATTCAGAAACATCACCAACTTAGTTCAACTATATTATGGCCCCGTTTGGTGTAGCTGTTAAAACAACTTATAGGTTATAGCTTAACAGATTATAGATTATGACTTTAATCAGAAGTTGTTAATCTGTTTGGTGTAGCTGTTGGATTATAGATTTAAGTTGCTGAATAGTGTTTGTTAAATAAGCTGTGAAATATCTTTTTCAATTAATTTTTATTTTTTGTTATTTACTACTTGTCTACATTTCTCATAAAAAATAATAATAATAATCTATAGTCCATTTTGGTCTTTTTTTATTTTTTAAAAAATAAAAAATAGAAAAATCTAAGAGTATAACCATAAATTAACATGTCCACAGCAGAAGCTGATAATCAGAAGTAAGGGGTGAGCAACTTCTCAGAATCAGCTTTTTTGAGTTAAAATAAGCTGTTAGAATCAGAAGCTATTTGAAATAAGTTTAACCAAACAGTTTAAAATAACTTTTTCAAAGCTAAAAGCTATAAGTTAGCTTTGAAAAGCTGAAACAAACACCCCCTATATGCAAGTATAATTCAACTCTGCCATATAATAAGTCTAAGTTTCTCGTCATGTTTCATTTAGAAACATCGCCAACTTAGTTCAACTCTATTATATGCAAGTATAATTCAACTCTACCATATAATAAGTCTAAGTTTCTCGTCATGTTTAATTCAGAAACATCGCCAACATAGTTTAACTCTATTATATGCAAGTATAATTCAACTCTGCCATATAATAAGTCTAAGTTTCTCGTCATGTTTCATTTAGAAACATCGCCAACTTAGTTCAACTCTATTATATGCCAGTATAATTCAACTCTACCATATAATAAGTCTAAGTTTTCTCGTCATATTTCATTTAGAAACATCGCCAACTTAGTTCGACTCTATTATATGCAAGTATAATTCAACTCTATTATATAATAAGTCTAAGTTTCTCGTCATATTTCATTCAGAAACATCGCCAACTTAGTTCAACTATATTATATGCAAATATAATTCAACTTTGCCATATTATAAGTCTAAGTTTCTTGTCATGTTTCATTTAGAAACATCGCTAACTTAGTTCAACTTTATTATATGCAAGTATAATTCAACTCTGCCATATAATAAGTCTAAGTTTTCTCGTTATGTTTCATTCAGAAACATCGCCAACTTAGTTCAACTCTATTATATGCAAGTATAATTCAACTCTTCTATATAATAAATCTAAGTTACTCGTCATGTTTCATTCAGAAACATCGCCAACTTAGTTCAACTCTATTATATGCAAGTATAATTTAACTCTGTCATATAATAAGTCTAAATTATTCGTCATGTTTCATTCAGACACATTGTCATGGGACTGGTCGGTCCTATCGCACAAATTTCAAATTCACAAAAATCAAACTAGCACTTTATTTTTACTTCAGCCGATATGCCCCATTGCCAGCAACCAAGATGATTTTATTCGGGCCAAGTTTAGCCTCCCTATGATCCTTCTTATTGCCGACAACCTTTCTCAGGATGAGGTCCCTAACCTTGAACTCTCTTGGGCTGACCTTCTTATTGTAAGTCCTAGCAAGTTGTTACTGGTATGCCCCCAGCTGAATTGTTGTTCTCTCGCACGTTGCAGGTGAATTTCAATAACATTTTCACATTTTTTTACATAGGCTTCAACTTCTTTTTGCATGTAAGGCCAAAATAATCCCTGCGATATTGCTCTATGGGCAAGGGTTCTGCCCCCTGCATGGCTTCCAAATACTCCTTTATGGATTTTATAGAAAAAGTCTTTAACCTGGGAAGGATGTACATATCGTAATAGAGGTCTAGTTAAAACCCTTCTGTATAGATGGCCTTCTGCCGACAGGCAAAACCTGGATGACTTCAGTCTGAACTTGTGTGCTTCCTTTTTATCTTCAAGGATCTGAGATCTGCTTACTTAGGCTGAGCTCTTCTCTTCTCGGACTTAATCATCTAGTCCGAGATCTTGTTTTTTGGAATCTGGGATCTGCTCACTTTAGGCTGAGCTCTTCTCTTCTCGGACCTAATCATCTAGGCTGAGATCTTGTCTTATGGAATCTTGGATCTGCTCACTCAGGCTGAGTTTTTCTCTTCTCGGACCTAATCATCTAAACCGAGATCTTGTCTTCTAAGATCTGGGATCTGGGATCTAGAATCCGGGATCTGCTCACTTGAGCTGAGCTCTTGTCTTCTCGAACCTAATCATCTAGGCCGAGATCATGTCTTCTGGGATCTGGGATCCGGGATCTTAGCTCTTGTCTTCTCGGACCTAATCATCTAGGTCGAGATCGTGTTTTCTAGGATCTGGGATCTGGGATCTGAAATCTGGGATCTGAGCTCTTATCTTCTCAGACCTAATCATCTAGGCCGAGATCTTGTCTTCTAGGATCTGGGATCCGGGATCTGCTCACTTCGACTGAGCTTTTGTCTTCTCAGACCTAATCATCTAGGCCGAGATCGTGTCTTTTAGGATCTGGGATCCGGGATCTGGAATTTGGGATCTGAGCTCTTGTCTTCTCGGACCTAATCATCTAGGCCGAGATCATGTCTTCTAGGATCTGGGATCCGAGATCTGGAATCTGGGATCTGAGCTCTTGTCTTCTCGAACCTAATCATCTAGGCCGAGATCTTGTCTTCTAGGCTCTAGGATCCGGGATTTGGAATCCGAGATCCACTCACTTAGGTTGAGCTCTTGTCTTTTAGGCACCAGTTTTGGCTATTGGTGCCGGCGTGTCCTGTAATAAAGATGCTGGCCGCATCACTTTGTTTTACATCATGAAGTTGATCACTGTCTATAAATCTGTCAACTTATTCGCCATGTCTTTTAGTTCTTCGTCTCTTCTCTGGCATCTGTCCCTCCGTGCCTCAAGGTCGCTTTCATGGTAGTACTCATCTCGGCTACCCTTTTTGTTCCCTTCTCGGCCTTTGGCGACGTTATTCGCCTCAAGATTCACTTATTATATGCTTCCGTTGCGGTCCCCTCATTCAATGTTAGGATCCACATGCTCCTCCTCCTCGCTATGGATGTCGTCCCTAATTCTCACTTCATGTTTGTTGTTGGCCATCTATCCTTACTAAGTTCCCACAGGCGGCGCCAAATTGTGGGTGTTGATTTCCAGCCACACACAATCAAAGGCGGAACTCAGCTAGAGAGCACCGGCAGAATAGATTAAGCCCAAACAACCTGTCACAGAAAGATAAGAATCCGGCGGTGGTTCATCCACCCAGGGGCACTCCGACGATCAAGTCAGTAATCAATATCTCTCAAAGATAACAAATAGTGCTTAACTTACTAGACAGAACATAAAAAGAATACCTTAGACCCATGGGGGTGCCTTACTTTCACAGTGGTCAGTGTCCAACTTCCCCTAAAAGTCTTACTTCATGGGACTCTATCCTTTACAAGGATAACATCTATCACAACTCACACTATTTAGATTAAGATGAACTTTCTCAAGAGTCTCATCTCTATCCAAATAGGTAGTTTGATGTCATCTAGGACTCTAGGACTCTAGTCCTCTATCCAAATATCTCAGATTACGGTATTATTGCACCATATGTCGGTGTCATGGTCCGCCCACGTGGTACCTCGGCTAACAACCTCGGCCACGTGGACTATCCAAAAATATGTCCCCACGATATCCCAATCCATTAGACTTGCCATGATGACTTCTGAAAGCATGTCTTCTGTATGAGAAGGATCGACCATTATAAAATTCAAAACTTTCTTCTTTAATTGCCAATCATCATCAATAAAGTGTGCAGTCAAAGATAAGTAATCAACATCTTCCTTAGCAGCCCACATATCAGCAGTAATGCTGATTTTACCAGGTAACTTATCTAGCACCTCATACACCTTCTGTTTCTCTTTATGATAAATTTCAATACAGTCGGTCTCAACCCTATTAAATGTCACTAACTCAAACAAAGGCTGAAGATTTCTAACAAATAGTTGGAATCCAACATGCTCAACCATAGACAAAGGATAACCATGCAAACGAGATCGAATCGGCTACGCTTATTATCGAAGTTACTATGTCCAACATTAATGGAGGTCAATGTATATTCAATTGTATCATTGTCAAAGATTTCATGAATGGAGGATAGAGGGTAGAGGCCGGTTCTACACAAGCGTAGTGGTAAAGGAGGCAGAAATTCAACCCCGAATAATGAGATACATACAATCTTTATGGATAACCTACTAGAATCTATGGATCCAAAAGGGCTGTATAAAGTATTTACCAACTATTGGATTGTAAAGGATGTGTTTATTCCGAATAAAAGAATAAAGTTGACTAAATCAAGGTTTGGCTTTGTACGATATGCTTGTCCAGTGGTAGCGAATATGGCGGTCCAAAAAGCTCATGGAATCTGGTGTGACAACAGAGCTTTGAAAGTAAAAAGAGCATATTTTGTTCAGGGAAATGAGGAAAATCAGAGACCACTAATCGCATCAGTTGGAAGAAGGGCATTGTCAGAACCAGCAGAACCCCAAATATGATACAAAAGGGAAAGTCTTATGCCCAAGCATTGAGTGGACAAGGGCTGGCATCAACTGCGAACATAAATATACATGCTTTCAAGGAAGGTAATGGCTGGCTTTATGACAGTGTGATTGTTCGATTGAAACCTCAACACCTTGCAACAGAGTTTAAAGAGGAACTGAAGAACAGAGGAATGGGAGATGTCCAGATTAGAGATGGTGGTGGCAGAGATATTATGTTAACCTTTGTGTCATGCCCCAAGCCTCGTGACAACGCCACACACTCATCTAAGTGAGCATGCAAGGCTAAGAGTCCAATCAAATAAACCAACAATAAAAAATACACAAATTAAATCTTAAATTATGATAATACCAAAATCCATAAATAATAAACCATCCTTGTCATATGAAATTATCCACCAAGTCCATTACTATAATCCACTAACAAATTAGTAACCCAAAGTAAATTAAAATCGTAGTCCTACTCTCGGCACTCCCACAAGTAAAAAACCCTGTGCAGCTCTACTCCGAATCTGAAAAAAAAATAAAATAAGGGTAAGTTAGGCAGCCCAGCAAATAACCAACCTCACTACTCGCTAGATCAAGTATACAAAAAAAATAAATAGTCGATAACCAATAAATATATTTTTGCTACAATTCAATAAATAAACAATCATTTTGTAAGATGGTTTCACAGTTGAAAATAAACAGAGTAGCAATACATTCTAGTTGAAAAGGCAATGAGATAATTCGAAGAATTTCGTTGTTCAAATCGATGGTTCAATATTCAGATGGTTCAATGATGCGATTCACAAAACTCAAGTCTTGGTGACTACGGTCACTTAGCCCGTGACAAGGCCCAAAACCACACATAGGCCGGTGGTAAAGCCCCAAAAGAAACTAGTTTCTATGCCAATAAATAACCCCCATTGGCTAGGGTCCAAATCATAGTCAGACTAGAGTGATGTTCAAAATTCAAACAATACACAACTTTTAAATAAAATATTCGATATTTTTAGAATAAACATTTGGTAGAATTTTCAGAATAGTTTCACAAAATATTTAAATGATTTTCATAATAATATTCGATGTTGTTTAATACTTGACCCATATTTTATTTTAAGAGAACATGAAGGCTATAAATAAATATTTATAATTTTAAATGATTCAATAGGAATAAAAATGAACTAACAGTGTTAGAGGGTTACTTACCTCAAATGCTTAAAAATAATATTCCAACACCAACTCCAAACACCCAGCTTCACCACTTCAATCACACAAACCTAATGAATAAAACCTCAAATAAATTAATATTTTTACGTGTTACATACACCCACAAAAGCCCCACCATATTAGATTAACGTATTACTTTAATATCCAAGTGACCAAACCATTCAACCCAACTTTATAGCCAAACACACCCTTACCCATGATACAAAACTCCACTGTTTCTATTACCCACCCAAAGTTACAGTTGCACGTTGCTAGGGCCGGCCCTAGGCATAGGCTCACCAGGCCATGGCCTAGGGCTCCTCAAAATAGACCCAAAAAAGGGGCCCCTCTTATTATAATTTAGTATAATATATTAGGTATGTTTTACGTCCAAAAAAAATTTGAAGAAGGCCCAAATCAACTTAAAATAAATTGACCTATTCAAAAATTAAAAGGCCATTCAAAAAAATTAGCATTGTTATCTATGGACAATAGACCCAAAAAGGGCCCCCTCCTATTATAATTTAGTGTAATATATTAGGTATGTTTTAAGCCCAAAAAAATTAAGGAATGCCCAAACTAATTTAAAATAAATTGACTCATTAAAAAAATTGAAAATCCCATTTAAAATAATTAGCATTGTTATCCGTTGAAAATGATTTTGCAAAAAAACTAGATTATGCAAGTACAGTGGCAAAGCCAGGAAATTAAATTAGAAGGGGCACTTCTTGATTACAACTTTAATTATTTTTTTCCATAACCAACAATAAGAAGATAATAATAATTTTTGAATTAATATTAAGTATAAAAACTTAAATAAATTATTACAAAAGTATTTCACATAAAATTTTACAATTAACTTCGAGTAAAATTGAAAAAAAATATTGTGTGTAACTAGTATATTATGGACAATGTAAAAACGGTCATATATTTAATTCTTAAAATAAATTATATAATGGTAAGATAAATCAACTTTTTACAAAATTTAAGTAAAAATTTCATATAATAGTGATATCACGTCATTATTAACATATAATATCACCAACCACTAGTAAAGCAACATATGAAGGGTGAACTCCACATACAAATATAACTAACACTCTAGTAATTTTTACATATATATAGTGAAATTAATTATATTTGCATATCAATAATGATGAATATTACTTTTACATTGAGATTTTTTCATAAAACTTTCATACAAAAAAATATAATTTGTTGTAGTCACTTCATTTTCAATAAAATAATCACTATTGTTTTCATAAATTTAAAAATGCCCTTGACATTTTATTCTAAATATTATTTTTGTTTAAAATTTTATTTATATACATATGTAAAAAAAAAAAAACAAAACAAAAATCCAGGGGGGCACGTGACCCCCTAGGCCCCATGTGGCTCCACCACTATGCAAGTATAATTGATTTATTTGCTTCTAAAAATGTAAGAAGAGCGAGAATCAAGTGATACTTATCAGTTGTTGTAATGTAATGTTAAGTATTTTTTGTGATTTTGACACAAATCTTTTGTCCTTTACCTTCATTTTTTTTTTCATTCAATGAAAAAAAAAATATGATGGGCCCCAGAAATTTATTAGTTAATTATCGGCTTTGGGCCCCCAAAATCTCAGGGTCGGGCCTGCACGTTGCACCCAATTCTCAAAACCTAAGTAGGCACCTACAGATCTTCCAAATCCCCATAATGGATTGATTGTTTAATTCCTCAAAATAAACTTAATAATCAACAGTACAGGAGGATTTTTACCTCAACCAATGGGTGTCCCAATATCACCCAACGTGCTGTCTCCAATTCCTAGTACAGCCTCACTTGAACCTCTCTTTTCTTTTCTTTTTTGTCGCCTCCAAAACCCTCCATAGCAATTCACCAGCCTCAGTTTTGTTTGTTTCTCTCTCTTCTTTTTTTTCCTTTTTTTTTTTAGGACTTAAAGCCACAACATGTGGGCTTATTAACCTAGTTTCTTAAAATTACAAAATTACCCATCTAAGTAATAGAAATTATAATGTCATCTCATAACTGATTCTTTGATATTAAATGACCCATATAAATTAATTTAATTACTAACCTATCCAATAAAATAATTCTACACACAACTTGGGTTTTATACTTTGAGTCAGTGGGAATCATGAAAGAGAACCTCAAATTAATGGAGGGGTGGATCCAGATATGGAGCGAATCAGTCAAGGAATGGCAGCATGGGATGGCCCTTGACCAGGAAAGATTTGTGTTGGCTTACTTGTTATGGAGTACCATTGAATCTCTGGAGCAGCAAAACATTTAGCAACATCGAAAGGTTGTGGGGGAAAGTCATAGGCATTGACGAGGACACAACCAGAATGAATTCTTTTCACAGAGGTGAGGATTTCTACAAAATGTATGGAGTCCATAAACACAACAATCACCTTGAGTTGCAAGGGGATAACCTACCAAGTCAAAGTCTGTGAAGACCAGGTGGTGATTTTGGAGGTGATATACAAGCAATGTAAATGTTATAGTGAGCAGCACAAAGGGGAAAATTCAACTTCACATGGTGAGGAACAAGAATAGAGATCTGTTGTGGGAAGCAAAATGGGTGAAGACCAAGCTGATGTGAAGGGCCAGGTTAGAGGTGTGCTGGACATAAGCGATGCTAAGGAGGTAGGGGGCCGGGGGTAAGACATGATGAGCATACAGCCATTGATGGACAAGATATGGGTGTAAGCATGTCTAGGGTTGAGGAGACTATCATGACTATAAGCCAGACGGATTGTCTGCAGAAGCAAGCTGGAGGTAGAGGGGAAGCATGCGGGACTTAGTCAGTCAAATCATTGCTAAACCCTATACAGATTCAAACCGAAGGTAACCAGATAGTTGAAGATGGAGTTGTTACTCCAGGTTTTATGAAGAGTCTCAATGGGCCTGAGAAAAATGGTCATGGGCTTAATATTGAGGTGCTATTAAGTAAGGCCCATGTCATAGAGTGTGGGAACATATTGGGCCATAGATCATCTGTGGTAAGTGACCCAAAGGATCAACCAACACAGGAGGGTGAAGATCATACCAGTATGGGGAAAGCAGCCCAAGACAGAGTTGAAAAGGTGCCTCACTGTGTAGTAAACTGTAAGACTGCAGTGGTAGCTCAAAAAGGGAAAGTTAACACAAAAGAGAAAGGAAAAGGGATTGCGAAATATCAGAGGAAGAGAAAAGGAAATTTACAAATTGGGGTTGGATCAGTCATAAACTTCAAGAAAATGGCTATATTTAGGTCGGCAGCTGCAGTAATCTCC